GAGAGAGAGAGAGAGAGAGAGAGAGAGAGAGAGAGAGAGAGAGAGAGAGAGAGAGAGAGATCGTGCATCGCTTGTGAGTGAGCATGCGCACTTGCAAGACAGGTAGGAGTATTTGTATCAATTGCCATTTACGCAACCTGTATGGCAGTTGCTGTAAGCTGAAACAAAAACACCTGCACTTTGAATTTTGAAGAGGCATGGCGCACCCTGAAAGCACAAGCCTGCCCACGCAATGGTTCCATCACAACCTCTCAAAGTTGCATATATTGTGATGCGGGGAAATCAAACGCCCTAACACTGCCAAACCACACCAACCGCCCAATAGGCAACTACAGACAGTCATCACGAGAACTCTCAGTCTACCATACCCATCCATCTCGACTGACTCCTAGTCGTACTGGATCTAGCATATGAAGATGGAAAGCGTAGACGTATGGCACCGCCTTCGGCCTACGAGGTGAGATTAAGGTATAGTCTAACCTCTAGTGAAAACTAGAGATGATTGGAAAGGCCAATCAAGCTCGGAGATAGCTAGCTGGTTTTCCGCGAAATCTATCGAGGTAGAACGTGTGATCTTCATTGCAAGAGGTAAAGCACTCGATGGGCTACGGTGGCCCAAAGCTTCACCAACCCCACGGAAACTCCGAATACTTGATTTCCACAGACTTACCGAAGTGTGCGAAATAGTTGGCCCATTACACGGCTCACTAACTCTACTTGCCTTTGAGTTTTCTTACCTATTTGGCAGGGTTTCACTGGATCAAGTGACCAGTTTCCCCCATGGACTTCCCGGCAACGTCAGGACACGAAGTGGGCGAAGCCGAAGCGGATGGTCCACTTAAAGAATACGATCTGAGTGTACCATCTTCAAATGATAAATCATTTTGAAACAAACGGTCCATATTGGGAAGAAATGAGAATAAAATACACATCCAAATTACTCCTAAATTAAAATGAAATAACAAATTTGTAGAAAAGCCTATCAGCAAAGGAGGGACTACGATATACAACAAAAACAACAAAAATGCTGCCAAGGGGATGTTACCGATCTGCGGTTCATCATTTTTCATGCCGCTCAGCAACACTTCTGACTTGTCGCACCTCTAGCACGTGGACGAACCGGATCCGAAGCGCATCCACCTCCTGTGGGTACGACCTGCGCAGGCCAGGGCTTGGGCCCGGCCAAGCTGTCACAGACCCGGAAGGGGGACAACCCTGAGATTTCAGTTCTCGTCTTGGCCCGGTCAAGCGAGAGCTCATGGTACATGTGTCTGAGTTCCTCCACAAGGCAGGGTCCTTGCACTATTGACTTATTATCAGAAATTGCGGGGGTGCACAAGTACAGGTTGCGGAGTCACACTTCACGAACTTCTGGAGCAGGAGACAACAGGGATGCTCGCTTCTATGAGCTTCTGTGTATTTGTGACTCCCGTTAGTCACACCGCCGCACAGTATGCAATAATATTTTCATGAAATCATTCACTTTCCAATTTTGCAGCCATATGGTCGTGCAATGACAAGTCGCACTGCCCGTGTCTGACAGGAATGCATACATTGTAGTTAAATCTCTACTGACTCGGAACAGCCCGGATTTTCACACAGCCGAGAGAGACGCATGAAGATGGTTTCTGTTTTTTTCTCTCAAAGAGTGGAAGACTCGAAGGGTATTATGTCAACTACGCTGCATTCATAGTATTCATACCTTTGATCGGAGATTGAGGACCTCATGACCCATGGCGTCGTTTGTCTTCTTCAGGTCTTCGACTATTTTCCGTGGTGAAGCACTCCCAGATGAAATGGACATGGCACCCAAGCGCGTGGGACTTGGACGACGGGGAGGGGTTGGTGATCGAGGGGACGGAGCTGCTGGTACAGGCGCACAGGGCAGACCAGGTGGGACAAAAGCATGATTGAAAGGCGCGGGGGGGTAAACTGCACCCCACGTGCCGTTCAGTGGAGTTACCGAAGCACGCCCCCTGGACTCGGACCGTTTGCGCGGATTACGCATTTGGGAGCCTTTCAGAGTCATCAGATCTCCTTCTGACCCTACCTTGAATTGCATCGGAGGCTTTCCACTTTTGTCCATCCCATCTATGGATATCTTATGGCCCTGACTCTTCCATTTATTCTTCCCGCCACGATACGAGCCACTCATGCCAGCCTCTTGAGCTTTTGCTAGCTTCACGAAGCAATTGTCGCAGACTCTTGCCGGCTTGTGGGGATTTGAGGCCATGCTGGCTTTGTATTGTTTCTTGCTACTGCAGCTATGACAAAACACCATGCCACAGTTGTAGCAGTTATGGCGGCGCTTGGTGAGTCCAAATGACGACTTGCATGCTGTGCACTGTGAGTGGTCTGCGCCAGACACCCATTTGTGCAGACAAATGACAGCGGTGAAACTCGATCCACATGCCACATGGGTAACATGTTTGTCTTTTAAGGCTTCCACAAGTGCCGGTGAGTCCCTGTCCTTGACATCCCCATGACCCAGTCTCCCATTGGCCCCCTTTCCCCACGTGTATACACCCTTCGAGTTGGTCACTACTGCCACATGCTGAGCCCCACAAGCAATGAAATCCACATACTGTCCCTTCAGTTTTCCCTCCACCAAGGCTGGCAGCTTCCCTGATGCATTTGGGACACCCAGCTGCCCGTAGACTGAACTGCCAAAAGTGTGCACTTGGCCCATTGAAGTCAGTGCAACCGTGAGACTGTGCCCACATGCAACCTGCACTATCGAGTGATCAGCGAGGGCGTGCACAAATGTCGGCACCCATTTCGCTTCTTTGTTGCCATGCCCAAGCCTGCCCTTATCCCCATCCCCCCATGTGTACAGACGCCCAGATGCACAGCTACTTACACTTGAATCCACAGAAAGTGTCTCTACTACTGCTGCCGTGTGCCATACTCCACACGCAACCTTAATTACGCGTGAACCCTTCAGCGCCTCTACCTCCCTCGGCAAGGCAGCATTGCTTCGGTCCCCATGACCAAGCGCCCCAAAAGTTCCATCCCCAAATGTGAATAGCTGCCCATTGCTTGTCACAGCAGCTGTGTGCCATGGCCCACACGCAACTTGCGTCACCCGAAGCCCATCCAAAGGCCCCAGAACCCTCTTTGGAACCCACTGACTGAAATCATTTCCATGCCCAAGCAAACCGCAGCCATGGGACCCATCCCCCCATGTGTACAGCTCTCCTGCAGCTGTCACTGCACAGGTATGATACTCTCCGCATGCTACAGTATCAGTCAGGGTGTTTGAGAGCGCCTCGACAAGCTGTGGATGCATGACATCCACATCAACACCGTGGCCAAGCCTCCCGCCACACTCCTCTCCCCAGGAGAACACCTCCCCTTGGCGATTTACCAAAGTGGAATGCCGGCCGCCACAAGCAATCATCTGCACATCTAAGACCACTGTAGATTCGAGTGCTTTAGGCAGAAGAGCATCTAGCTTTGCTCCAGGGCCACCACTTCCAATTCGCCACTGTCCACCTCCCAGCACACCATCCCCGATACCTTCTCCCCACATGTACACATCCCCCAGGTTCTCGCTGTCATCCATCCCCGACCCCTGGCTTGAAGTGCTCACCTGGCTCGATACACTTAGTCTGGAATTCTCAAAAAATTGAACCCTGCTTATTGCAGAGCCCAATACACCAAACTGGCTACTGCTGCCACTGTCAGATCCTACCTCAGACCCGTCTCTGACAATTTGTGTGACTGCCGGTGGCAGAGGAAGGAGCGCAGACTGCAGTCCATCCCCAAGGTCTAATCCATGTGGTGGGCTTGCATATGGGCTAAGCATGCGATCCCCGCTCCTTGGCCCATCCAAGAACACAGGTGGCGGAGAAGTTGGCGGCGTAGCCCTCAGTTGTGCCTGCAACCACATCGAGCAACGAAGGCAACACATACACTTTGTTCACTCCACTGCTCATGCATCTGCAACAATTCCAGATTCGTATTGAATGATGCTCAGCATCAGGTAACAAAGTCAGAAGATGTACGATGCGAAGGAAAACAAAAAGAAAGATCGTAAGAGATTTGGGCCAAACGATCAGCGGAAACGAGCAGCATAAAGAGAAAAGCACGCTGAGAGCAATGAGGCCATCAAGCAGTCATCCCCCAAACCTGATGCCGAGTCGTAGAAGCATGCATGCTCATGTATTGTGGCAATGCTACCGACGTCGACACAAAGCTACTGTTTAAGGATCGAAGGAGTGGGGAAAGCTACTGTATAATGGCAGAGGTTACAGATGTCAGCAGACAAACACCAACGAACCATGCCACCAAATGCAATTGTCCACAGCAAATTCCATGCAGAACAGGTGCTAACACTGTCTCCACGGCCTGGAAGCTAGGACATACATTGCATACAACCATAATGCATGTCCCTTACGCACCTACCATCCAATAAAGGCGTCAGCTGGCTGATGAAATGCGATTTCGAACCGGCCTTCCGCAAGGTTAATGAGAAGAGGCACATGAGATCTGAAGGAAATCTTACGCCCAACCAAAACTCCGCCTCCACAAACAGGACGGTTTCAGTCTCTGCATTCTGGTCGGCATGTCCATGAAATGCACCATACACGGCCAACGTCTCTTTGACATTTTGGCAGGCAAATTCGCCAACTGCAAACGGAATCTAACATTCATATCAACCCAACCCTATCTCCCTCTTCTCCATCCGTGTCATTGATCAGTAGGTGCCAACAAATCAATCCACGACGCGCACAATCACACAAAATGAGCAAGTACACTGAGTAGACACTCCCCTTTCCCCAACAGAATAGGCTAAGTGTTAGACTGAGTACATTGATCGTTTACCGGCCCGCTATATCTCGCAGCCCTGCGAGTTTTCTGCGATGCAGGAAGCACTAGTGTCTAAAGCATCCTAACCCCCACTCCCATGTGCTCTGAAAGAAGAGGGAAAACTCCTCACATTTGCAACTTGAAAAATTGTATACAGCACATACTATCTCAGTTCACCGGTAAATTTAAGCGTGTCAATGAGCACCAACACAGAACTCAGGCCAAAAGACCATATGCGAAGTGGATGACGCCTACTCCTCAACTTGTAACATAGTACAGCATTGCTTGCTAAGAACCGAACTCTGTGTACACAATATCTGCATTTGCTCAACACTCCCCGCCATTCTTTCCACTGTCCGACCTCTTGCCTGCAAATGCTCCCCCTCAACGCTCCCTCTTTTCCCTCTTTATTTCTCAAGGGTTTTAGCCCCCAAAGCCCCTGCTTGCCACATGCAATCCGCTTCCCAGCCATATCCTGCATCAACTCCTACCCTCCTCTGCTTTCAACCATTCCCCCTTTTTCCAACACACCCACCGCTCTGCTTCCGAAGGCAAATGCCCTCCACTACGGAACACCCCCCCTGCTTCCCCACATGGACCCCTTGTCAACAAATCTCCACCTTTATTGCGCATAATTATCTAACTTNTCCACTACGGAACACCCCCCCTGCTTCCCCACATGGACCCCTTGTCAACAAATCTCCACCTTTATTGCGCATAATTATCTAACTTAAACTTGTCCGCGCACCCCTCCCAAAAAAGAATGACCAGTCCACTTCAAACTACAGCAATCTCCCATGCCACAGTTATCATCATCATTGTTGTCATTATTGCCATCATCCTCCACCTCCCAAAACAGAATGACCAGTCCCCTTCCACCTCCCAAAAGAGAATGACCAGTCCCCCTCCACCTCCCGAAAGAGAATGACCACTCCCCTCTGCCTCCCAAAAGAGAATGACCAGTCCCCTTCAAATTACCTCTGGCGAACACCCATGCCACAGTACCATCATAATCGTTGCCACCATTGTCATAACACTTGTCATCATGAACGGCATGCGGCACAAGTCATCCTTTCCACATGCTACAGCACTTCTTCAATTCACAGTCCTTCTCTTCCTACCTTCATCGTGGCCTTTGCACATCCTACACATTTTTTATAGAAGACAAACTACTTGTTAATCATGAGCTTAATTACCGGCCAGAACAGCCCCATGCCCATACACTCGGTAGAATTGTCAGGGAAGCAGAAGAGAAATGTGGCACTCGAGCTATCCGTGGGTAGAGGTCATGGTGAAGGATAGTTGTGAATGAACATTCCTCCTGGTGCACATCAACCCAATTACCATCTCTGGACTTCAATGAGTCGTACAGTCTGTGGCTGAAGCCCTGGCTGTATTGTTTTGAGTCTTGAATGAACAGTTGTGCTCTCCTCCTTCCCATCATCATCATAACCAGCTTCTTCTTGATAAAAAGTTTGCCATCGTGTTCACTTCTGTAGTCATCACGATTAGTGTTACCGGCCCGAACACTCAGTGGGGATCTATATTACACCCCCAAACTTTGGGAAAGCGGCCTTGTTTTCCATTCCCCCTCCCCCTAAATCTCCAGCAGTCAAGCTCTACACTTGCCAGATTTATGGGTTATTTGGTAAACAACAAAGAAAAGATGCTACCAAACTTGCTAGCCCCCCCGCCCCGTTTTCTTCAACCACTTTGTTTTCCATTTTCTTGTTTGTTCATCTGCTTTTCTCTTCTTCCTTGTATCTGGTTTTACGAGCGGCTGGATCAACCAATCAATCAATCAATCCACAACGACAATCCCTCTCTCTCTCTCTCTCTCTCTCTCTCTCTCTCTCACACACACACACACACACACACACACACACACACACACTTACTTATGAATCCGCGATTAAAACTAGCAATGCAACATGCTTGTAAGAATCCACGAACAAGACCAGCAATGCAACACTTCAATAATACCCAACCGTCAAATATTTCCCATTTCACATCTTATTTGAAATACTTTATGATGCTTGTACGAATCCACAATCAGGACCACCAATGCAACAGTCTTTGGCTCGTAGGTTTTTGGCCAAGTCAAAGCTTCTGGGTCAGAAGTCATGCTGTATGGTCCTGGGTTGCATCCAGAAGAACTGAGGTCAGTAGCTTTGGGGACACAGCATCCCGAACGAGTCCTCTGGGCCTCGAAAAGTCAACTCAGGCCGCAGGTATGTCAACAGTCAGGGTCTACCGGGTTCAGTAGACTCAAGAGTCACAGGTTTCTCTAGAAGTCCACCACAGCTACAGATCACACACAAATCCAAAGGCTCACAAAATGTTTCCAGATACTTGATCCAGGCAGCCTCTGATGGCCGTCGGACCTCATTCACTCATATGGGTGAATCTCAGCCCTCCACTGGGTCCAAGAGGAGGCAGGCCAGGCCAACTAGAACGGTATGAGTCCACCCCCTCCTCAGTTTTCAGCATTCTGCAGGGATTGGTGCTACCCAGACACATGTTTATAATGAATTTGTTGTGTTCTAATCTTACTTCACATTTTTTTTCTAAGACATACCCCAGAGACATGTTTTATTATGCATTTCTAGTTTTTATCTTCCTTGCGATTCGTGAAAATATTTACAAATAAAAGGGCCTTTACCCGATATAGGCCTCAGGCCTTGTACAAATAAAGCAGCACGGGCCTTGAAAAAGCAAAGCATTGTGAAAAGGTATCTCGCCAGGGCTCAGAAACGTGAAAGCAAGTCAAAGGTCAAGTTCTCTATCAACGGGCACATCTAAATCTAAGGCAAAAGGCATTGTCAAAGGACTTACCTGTTCACTAGGAGCTGTGTATGTCATGTCTGTTCGAGTAAGAGTGTGTCTGTACGTGCAGGCAGTGTAMCTGTTCRTSCAATGGAAAGTGCCTGTTCAAGTAGTAAATGTGTCTGTTCGTTTAGAGTTGTGCCTGTCCRAAAGTGAAGTCAGTAGGCSYAGTCCCAGTTCTGGTCTAAGTCAAGGGGTCAGCCCAGATCCAGACTTTCAAGTCCAAATCCAGGCCGRAGTGCCTCAGCAGCAGTTGAACCTCATTGGGGCTATACTGGGACACATGCAATGCAGGGTCTGGGACAAAGGGAGAGGCTGAGTTGAGCCAATGCAGACCCAGCGAGGAGTGGTCAGCATTATAAAAGAAGCTGCCRGCCTCATTCCTCGCCAGATCTCCACTGGCTGCAATGCGTGGAAGTGCTGGTGCACTTGTGCGCTGAGTCAGGAGGAGCAGCGCTGGAGGAGAAGATGCGGTGGAGGGAGGAAGAAGCCTGTACGCTGGAAGTGATGCAGCCATAGCTGCCCAGCGAGTTAGCATTAGTAGTAGAGGGTTAGTATGTAGCTATGAGTAGTATCCAGAGTAGATCCTCATGAGTATCGAAGAGTGTGTCTGCATCGTAGGAGGAAGGGATTGAGGCTGAGAGTGTTCATTCAAGGTTTGGCTATGGAAGATACTTACCTGAGTTGGATGTGACCTGCAGAGGTGGCGCTGATGAGTAGTGACCACATTGATGACTTGGAGAYTATCTGCAGGGGTAGCGCTGATTCATTGGAAGTCATATTGATGAGTTGGCAAGATATTGGTGTTGCGCTGATGAGCGCTGGACTCAGGGGAACTTTGAAACACTTTGTATTCATATTTCTGATAATATAAGCTGTGAAACTCGGTCCTCATCTTCTCTATCTTTATCTATTGTGAGACTACTGTTCATTGTGTGTGGGAGTACGATGCATGGCATGTACACACTTGCGTGAGATGGTCCCCAGGACCCATGCACAAATTTCTACTGCCATGTATGTAAAGCTATGTACAGCCCTGTAAAACTATGCGCTAGGCAGCACTATGTATGACTATGTGCTACGTACTGGTACGTAGAAGTCTGTAATGTAGAGCCCTATAGGGCTATAGGCAGAGCTATGTGCTGAACGTGAAGCTATATAGGGCTGCGTAGAACTATGCACTTTGCACACCTACAAAAATGCACACCTCTCTAGCTGTGTGTGTGTTGCTTTGCCGTGCTACATTCTCCAAACAGTGGTTCTGTATTTGAACAGCCAGACGTGACTACTGGGGGACAGACTGTAACTCCACTTATACGAGTTTATATGCATCACATTCATGATTGTAGTAGTCGCATCGTTCCGATGCAGCTGTGCAATTACATCGGCTCAACCGTTGAGACTTTCAAAGTTCAAACACAACGAAGGGTCGCAGCCCCTGAACCATTCTTTTTCTCACCCCTGCAATGCCCCCCACAGTTCCAGTCTGAGAAATCTAAATCTGCACTTTTCTGAGAAAATGTGTTGTTTGATCTGATTGCTGAGATTTCCAAATCCGAGCCTCTTCTGCTGTGTTTGTTGTGTCTAAGTGCCTCCTACTGATGTTGTACATGGGTAGATGTGCTCGCCTGTGAAGT